GAAATTATCTTCTACTTGGAATTGCATCTGGAACTTAGCTCTCCTTATCATTGAAATTCAGAATCAGGTAGATACTCAGTGAAAAAGAACCTAACAATTATAATTTACTCTTTTGGGTTTCGTGATGTGGTAACAGTGATGCATACACACATATTCATACATAAATATTTTAAGCAATACAATTTTTAAAATTCTCTTTAGTTTGATGAAAAGGGATGAACTCTCTAGAATTTGCATTTGAGAACAAATAATTACATAGACTTACTTCCATCTTCATCTCCATTTTCTTCACAATCTGAGAACTGACAGAAACTCTTCACACAATTATCCTACCTCTCTTCATCTGGGTCAAAGCTACACTGCTTGGATAATCAGTAGTCACTTTGGCCCAGTGATAAAGGTAACAAAAGCTGCCAATTCATTTTGTAAGCCTTGCAACTGGAACTTAGCCCTCTGTAAGTAAGGTGTTTGTATTACATGCTTTTGTTCTATTTGATAAACTTCTCTCCTACCTCTCTGTGGTATAGCAGATGTAAAATTGCCTATTGTTTCTGGAAATTAGATGAGTCAGACACTAATTAAATTCACTGATAATGTTAGCCACAGGTGGAAATGGGGCCAAAGTGGGCTGTTCATTTATTCTTCCTGGTTTGATATATCTTTTAAAATATTAAATTCGAAAGGCTTTAAGAGCTTCACGACGTAGGATAATTTGGAGGAGGGATCCTGTGCTTCATTATCTGAGATGTCCTGAGCCAATGAGCTCACCATGCATACCTGCAAGACTTGTATAAGGCTGCAGTGAGAACTGGTATTTTCCCTCACCTAATCCTCAGGGCTTGAAATACAGGTGGTTAGAGGGACAATGCCTATGCTCTCCTCCTTCCCCTCTCATCTGAACTTCACACCAAGCAGGCTACCCAATCCTGTGAAGCAAAGAAGCCTTCATGGGTGATATTTTTTTTTTTCATTTACGTCAAGGAGGACAATGTTCTAGAATTCTGTGGGGTCATCGTATCACTCTGATACACACTTTCCCCGTTCTCTTCTTAGTGCTGACTGATCCCTTCCCCTGGAGAAAGTGACCTGATTCTTTGTCAGTATTTTAACAGGTTCTGATGCTAGAACATGTTCTGAACTATCCAGAGGCAGGAAGACTGTCCTAAATGGGAAAATTGATAAACACACCCTTTAATATAGGGTTACTCTGAAAAGAATCCCAAACATGACTATATCTGTTCTCAATGGAATGTTCTAACATCAAAATTCATACTGCTCCTACCCCACAGCAGCTCTCTCCACCGTGCACCCCTCACGTCTGCTGTAATCCTACCCTTCCCATAGTCTTTAGCTTCTGCTGTCTCTTCAGTCCAGCCTAGAAAAACTGTTTAAGCAGTTCAGTAACATATATGATAGTTTTGAATGGCTGCACTTAATGCTGTTGTACACCTAGCAGCTGCCAGGACACATGAACTGCCTGGCTGGGTTCTGTTGACATGGACCCTACCTACAGCCAGAATCTACCACCTAATTAGGAACTCTGATACTAAGTTTGTCTGGACCTTCATCTGCATACATTTTTGCCCCTTGTGCTATCAGGAAAGAGCTATAGCCACAGATACTTAAAAGACTAAAGAACTCCTTTAAAAACCATATCAAGTAACTAGCTAAGTGAAAGGAGGTGGTGCCAGGGAGAAAGGGCCATGTTTGCCCAGAGATGCTGTGAGGGCAGTTCTGTGGGAGCTAGAGGTGAAGGGGTTTGTGTGTGCCAGTTCCTTGCAGGAAAATCCTGGAGGAGAAGGGGAAATGGGAGGGAGTCAGGGCATCTTAAATGTATGAGGGGTGAAGCAGAAAAATATCTATCCTATTTAAATATAGGCAAGCCTCACTAACTCAGCCTAATTAGAGGAAAGCCAGTCTGAATAATGGAATATTTTTAAATGCATTTTTATTACTTTCAAGCATTGGACATGCTAGTAATTCAAAATAGACTAACAGCATAGAACAGCACCTCAGGGAAGGGGCTTTAAGAATCATTTGTAATTAGCATATCAATTATTTGTATGTAAGTGGATGTGCACAAAGTGCATAAAAAGTTTATTCTCCTAAGTAGGACAAACGTTCCCCAGTGCAATCCTGTTTACACTATTAATTTGCTTAGCCAGCCCTTTTTGTGCCAAGATAGATGTATGTAAGAAATGCTTATTTCCTCAGGGAAGAATGAATCGCTTCCCTGTGTTTAGTCCAGTAACTAAGAAGCTGAGCGCCACTTGATTGGTTTGGGATTTCCAGGATATGGAGCTTTGAATTTGCATACAGACTAGAGAGCCTTCATATGGAGAAGATCTGGCAGCCATTGCCAGAGACCCAGTTTCCCCATCTGGATTTCATTGAAGTGATCTGGATTTCATCAAGCAACAGGACACTGATCCTAAATGATCCACCAGACACTCCAACATAGACATGTTTAAAATACATCCTGCCCCAGAAAAATAACTGCTAAAATATGATGAGTTGGAGTTACTCTATGTGCAGTACTTAAAAGTAATAAAAATGCATTTCTTTTTAAGTCCTGCAAAAACCATGCAATATCAAGTTAATGATGAAAATCAATCCCCAAACTCTTTCTTGCACACCTCATTGTGTGACAGCATTGCACGGATTTCCAATCATCTGGAAGAGGATATTATATTGTGATGAGCTGCACCAGGTGCTAACTATATGGCAGGATTTCAGCTTTGAATCTTAGTGAGGCCCTCCTGGGTAAAAGAGGGTGCGGGAAGGGCTAGGGGCATGTTTATTGTTAACAAATCATTATTGTCCACCACAGTTCCAAAAGCAGAGCAATTGCATTGAAAAAGAGGTTATATAGGAAGGGGAGAAAATATGATTAGGAAATGGGAAGCAGAGATATAGACCTGTATTTCACCTCACATGTATTACACTGTGCTCTAGGTAAATTGTGAATTCTTCAAGGCTTAGAGAGTAGAAACCAAGTGCAGAGAACATAAGCATGAGCAGTAAATATGCACAGTGATGTTGCAACTACAGTTTGGAATGACTCCAGTTCTCCCCTTTTCCCCAAGGGCATCACTATCCAGGGTCTGCAAAGGCCAAATAGCTCTTTGGCTTCCAATCTGATTTTTTGCCTAAGAAATCAGAGAAGTCGGTTTCAATTTTAATAATATATTCTTCCAACCTCTATATAACAGAAAGGCACTTGTGCTTCTACCCTCCTCTTAAAGTGAATTTTGTGTTTGGTGAAAGGTAATAGATTGGCAGCACTGGAAAATGAATTACTGTATTCCCAGAACAGGTATAACCAGGCAGTGACACTATGAAATTTCTGTCTGCCTTTGGGGACCATTAGAGTACTACTCAGGAAGTCACTGCTGTGGTGTGCTGGGCTGAACTCCACAGCATCCTAGTGGGCTGAAAGAATTAACATAGCTCTCGAAGGGCCATTCATTTATTCATTCAATGTTATGGAGTGCTTACTATATGCCTGGTTTTGGGAGAAGACTTTCACAAATGTCATATCATTTAATCTTCACAGTAACCCTGGGAGAGGGAGAATGTTATTCTTATTTTCTAGAGAAGGAAACAAAGGTTCAAAGAAGTGAAATGAGCTGTCAGGTTGCCCATGCACCCACTAGATCCAAGTTCTACCAACTCCATACCAGTGTTCTTCATGAACTGGGTGCTGTGACTGTTACAAAGGATGACCGATGAGACATATGTTCAAACAATATGACACAAAGCTGAATGTAATTTGCACCGCAGGCAGTCCTAGTGGTTACAGAGCAGTGAAATGACCTATCCCAGATCACATAAAGGGCTATTAGCACAGCTAGCCTTGGGATTCATATCCTTTGAGTCTTCTTCCATTCTTTTTTGTTTGTTAGCTCTCCAGACCTGCCTCTCAGCCCAACCCACCCCGTGCCCAGATAATATGCACCCGGATTGCTGGGGCCTCTGGCCTTTCAGAATGAAAAGAGCCTTAGAGCTGTGGGACTTAGTGACGATAACATTGGATTCAAATTGGAATTAGTATACTAATTCTAGCTCTTACGATTCACTCTAGGCCACTGGTACGGTCCTTTAATTCTGTATGACTCACTTTCTCTTGTGTGAATGAGAGTGGTTTACTTCCCAGAGGTACATCAAGAGATAAGTAATAATACACTAAAAATAGTGTACAGCCCTTTCTGTTGCCAAGGTGACATATAATTGATGAGTAGAATTACTACAAGGCCTGCTAGAAAGAGATGCCAATTAGAATCTATGTTTCTATATAATGGACTCAGCAATGAGAGAAAAGATACCCCTTTAAAGCGCTACAAAACTACATCATGAAAATTAAAACAACAAAAGAGATGTGTGGTTCTTTGTTACTTGGTGGGTTTGGGAATTTAAGGTTTGTTTTTCATTTTATAGGTTTGGATGTTTTAGATGCCTAAAGAATCAGTACAGCTTGTCTAATGCTAAAAGCGAGGAGGGGGCACTTATAGGAAATTAAATGTCTTCTGGATATGTCCAAGAGGCACCCATGACCCCCAATGAAATGACACATCATCCTCGCTGCAGGGAGTCCCCCCTCCAAATCCCTGCCTCCCACAACCATTTGTACTAAGTCTGGAATCACTGAGGCCTTTGCCATATGTTGAGTCCCCTGACAGCTTGAGTTGTTGCAGAATGAGTCAGCAGTACCTGAGGTGAGACAGGATTGAAAGAATAGAAAACACATACCTATGAAAAGTTGACTGGTTCCCATTTGGGACTGATGAATGATTTTTTGGGTCCTTCACACAGTCTCCCTCTGAATCCCATTAAATACAATGAATTTAATATTTATATCTTAGAAAGGGGTTTTGCTGCTGGCAAGAACTTTTCTCAAGCTGACTGCTCAAAGCATTAGTAACAAATACTTCTCTGCATTCTCCCTCTCTGATCTACCCCTTCTTGGTTTTTCAACTTTATATTTCTCTGTTCATCTCTAGTGAGAAAGTCTCTAAACGGTGTTGAAAGTACTTGTTGGAAAACATGGCCAAGCTGGGATGCAAGCTAGAAAGTCAAGAGATGGGACCTACTGGCAGCCTGTCCATGTCACAGGCCTGGCTAGAGGGATCTCTTAGGGTAACAATGCCCTACCACCAGCTTTGATCCTGAGTGACTGTAGCACTATCACTCTGGCATCTCATTGCCTGAAGATGAGAATTTTAGGATCATAACTGTTTAACATATCAATAGACACATCCCTCTGCACTCCCCGAACACCACCTCCGCCCATCATTCCATTCCCTCACCACAGTGCTATCATCAGTAAATGGCACCAGTGAATGCTGTCAAGGATACAGAGCAGAAGCTGTGGTCCAGCATCATGGACTAGAAGAAAAGAGAGTGTCTCAAAGACTTTTTTGTGGGGCTTTTCTCCTATAGAAAATACCGTGCCTGTCATCACTCCTGGCTTTTCTCTTCCTTGGGCTTAAATGTCCTCCCCCAACTCAAGGCCTGCTGAAGCTGCTGTGCCTGTGTCTCCTCATTTGCATAGCCTCCTCTGAAAGCCCGAGGACTGAAGACTGGGGGATCAGGTTTCTCATCAAGAAAACTGCATTTCAAATGAATGTCTTGTGTGTTTATAAGGAAGTTACTAATGTGGTGTAATGAGATGTCTGTCTTCCCCCTCCGTTCTGGGGAAGAGATTTTATGCTTTCACAAAACCTAAAATTAATTATTTACAGTGTAGCATATAGCACTGTTGCAGTGATTAGGAAAACTTTCCCAAAAGGAATCTGGGGTGACATTTCATTCGCTTATTCATTTAATGACTATTTATTGAATCTTTACTATATCTAAAGTATTGATTCTATGCACAAGGAAGTTAGGGGAAATTTTAAAATGTTAGATAGATAGAGATTGATTTTCATATTCACACAAATTTGAATAAAACAAAACACAGAAAGTTGTAAAAGCCATAAAATATGGGATGCTGTGGGCATTCAAAGGAAATAAAATACTCCAGGAAAAGGCCTAATTAAGGAGGTAACATTTGATCTGGGTTGTAAAGGGTACCTAATTACTATATCTTTACAAAGCGTGTGAACGTGTATGCATATTTATAAAATCTGGGTCAAGTTTGAATATACAGAAATTATAAGGACGGATGTTCTTTGCAGAGGGTGCAATAAGATCAGAGTTGGAAGAAGCTGCACTGTATATGGAGAATAGTGGTGGTTTAGTTTGGCAGGACTGTAAAGTACATGAGAGGAAGAAGTTACAAAGACTGGAAAAGCGGGTGGGGTTCACAGCATGGAGGATCTGAAATTCTTAGCTCTAAAGATTTGTACTATATTCTATAAGCAATTAGGAGAACCAGTGAACATTTTAGAATGAGGAAATAATAAGATCAGAGTTTGCTTGAGAAGATTAGCACCCAAAATAATGACTCTGAAGTGGCACTGCTGTTATGTGAGAATGGCTGGCACGTGACCTGCCATACTATAGTTTAGAAAGTCATGGGAGCAGGGAGATTACAATAGGTTAGAGGTTACACTCTAATGCCAAACTGCAGCCCTGCCACTTAACAGATGTGTGATACTGTGTAGACAGCTGAACTTCTTTGTGCTGCACTTTCCCCGTCTGTAAAATAAGATTCATAATACCTATCTTATATATTATGATGATTGAATGTGCTAAAAAAAGTACATAGAATAGTACTCTGTTCTGAATAAAGTGTTCAATAAATGTTAGTTGCTATTATTATTATCTTCATTCATAGAGGAGATAGAATTTGGGCCATCCTTTAGAGAATCACCCTGTCTATGCCGTAGACATGGAGAAAGGTGACTTTTAGGCAAAAGAAGCACATGACAAAAGGCCTACCCGTAAGAAGACTCAAAGTTAGTAAAGTAACCAGTTTGCCTGTGGGATGACATATCATAAGTTAAGGGGTTATTGAAAAATAGGATTTAAAAAGTACACCAGGGGCAAATCTTGAAGGACTCTGAATCACAACATAAGACTTTTAAGTCTTACCTAAAGTGAAGGTACACTGAAGGATTTGGAATAAGGAAGTGACTTGATCAGAGCTGTCACTAAGGAAAATTAATCTACTGGTACAGTATGTGATAGATTGGGCAGGAAAGAGACCTGAGGCAGGACAACTAATTAGGAAACTCTTGGTAGCTATTATCACTGGAGGTCATAAGGCTGGATTCAAGTCTGTGCTGAGAGTGGAGAAGAGTAGATGGAGAGAGATGTTGATGATGAATAACAGGAAAGGAATAGGAAAAAGGGAAATATATAAAATCCTTCATAGTTAAGTAATTGAAGGTGTGGCTATCATTAATAAACACAGAGACTATACAAGATAAAATGACATGGCCCATGGGGCTGGAGTGATGGCTCAGCGGTTGAGAGCACTGGCTGCTCTTGCAGAGGACCTGGGTTTAGTTCCCAGCACCCACATGGAAGTTAACAACCTTCTATAACTCCAGTTCCAGGGGATCTGACAACTTCTTCTGACCTCTGGTGGGTGTTGCACAACACGGATGCACTTACATGCATGCATTCATACACATAAAATTAAAAAGCAATAAAATTTCTTTCAAGATGGCATGGTCCAGTGGGCACTGTAAATCATAGCTCCTCTGCACAAGCTGACATGTGGATCCCAAAATGTATATGCAAATTCAATCCACAATAACCCAAACAATCTTGAAAAGAAAGGACAAAGTTGGGAGACCCATACTTGCTAACTTTCAAACTTAGCTATGAAGCTGCAGTCATGGAGACAGCATGATGCTGGCTCAAGGACAAACATATATATAAATGGAACAGAATTCAGAGATGAGAAATAAATCCCCACATTTACAGTGAAGTGATTTTTACACAGTGGGACCAAGTTCACTGACTGGGACAACTATATAGTAACATGTAAGATACCGAAGTTAGATCCTTACATCACACCTTGACAAAAATTAACTTAGACCCAATATATAATAAAACTCTTGAAAGAAAACATAGATGTGATGCGTTTGGGTTTTGTCTCTTGTTTGTTTGTTTGTTTTTTTGTCTTTTTGAGACAGGGTCTCCGTGTAGCCCCAGCTGGCCTGAAACTTGCTTAGACCAGGCTGGCCTTGAACTCACAAAGATCTGCCTGCCTCTGCCTCAGTGATGGGATTAAAGGCCTGTGCCACCATGCCCAGCTAAGGTTGCTGTTCTTTTAAAAAATATTTTATTTTATGTGTATGAACTTTGCCTGCATGAATGTTAAGTACACCAGATGCATGCAGTGCCTGCAGAGGCCAGAAAAAGGCATGGGATCCCCTGGAACTGGACTTACTAATGGTTATTAGGGGCCATGTGGATGCTGGGAACTGAACCTGGGTCCTCTGCAAAAGCAGCAGGTGCTCTTAGCCACTGAGCCATCTCTCCAACCCCAGGTGTGAATTAAAAATATTTTTTGATTTAGTTGTTTTTATTTTTATGTGTGTTTCTTTGCATACATGTATGTAAGTGTACCAAATGTATGCACTGCCCACAGAGCTCAAAGACAGTGTGGGATCCCGAGAATTGTACTAGGAACCGAACCTGGGTCCCTGCAAGAGCAGCTAATGTTGTTAACTGCTGAGTCATCTCTCCAGCCCTAAAATGTGAATTTTTTGACCTTGGATTAAGTGACGGTTTCTTAGATATGGCATCAAAATCACAAGCAACAACAGCAGAAATAGGTAAAAACAGACTGTCAAAATTAAAATTTTTGTACTTCTTGTGCTTCAAAGGTCATTATTAAAAGAGTGCAAAGATAAGCCACAGAATTGGAATAAATATTTGTGAATTGTGGATCTGATACTGGACTGGTATCTGGGATATATTAGTTATTACAATATGCTCGGTATGGTAGCACATGCCTTTAATCCCAGCACTAGGGAGGCAGAGGCAGGGGATCTCTGTGAGTACAAGACCAGCCTGGTCTACATAGCAAGTTCCAGGCCAGCTTGAGCTACAGAGAGACACTGTCTCAAAAAAGAAAAAAAAAAGAATTCTTACAATACAATTCTTTTTACCGACTCAGTGGTAAAAAGACAACCCAGTTTAAAAGTGGGCAAAAGGAATGAAATAGACACCAGTTTTAAGATGTGCAAATTACTGGTAAGCACTTGAAAAGATATTCAACTTCATTAGTGATGTAGGAAATACAAATGGAGACACAATGAAGAAGGGGTATAGCTCAGTGACAAAGCTTGGGCAGGAGGCCTGAGGCTTCTGGGATTGATGCAATGAGATATCACATCACACCCACTAAAAATGGCTACAATTAATTTAAAACAAACCAAAACAGAAAATGAGCATTGGCAGGAATATGAAGAATTTGAACCCTCAAACATTGCTGGTGGGAATGTTAAATGGAACAGCCACTATGTTTCCAGACTGGCTGTTCTTCAAATGCTTAAACATAGAGTTATATGACCCAGCAAATTCTTTTCATATATATGTGAAGAATTGAGGAATTTTCCTCAATATATATGGAATACATAGCTGGATGCGATGCTACATACTTGAACTCTTAGCACTTAGGAGGTGGAAGTAGGAGGATCAAGAGGAGCTGAAGGCCAGCCTTGGCCACATAGTGAATTTAAGGTCAGCCTGGGCTATATGAGACTCTGTCAACAACCACCCCACCACCACCAAAAAAGAATATATATAGTTGTACTCTTAGCACTTAGGAGGTGGAAATAGGATCAGGAGGAGTTCAAGGCCAGCCTTGGACACATAGTGAATTAAAGGTCAGCCTGGGCTACATGAGACTCTGTGTCAACAATCCCCCACCAAAAAAGAATATAATAGTAGTGCATGTGATAGCACAGTGAACTTTGAAAACACTATGCTGAGTGAAAGAATCCAGACACAAAACCCCATATATCATATGATTCTACTTATATGAAAGTTCAAAATTAGACAAATTCATAAAAACAGAAAGTAGGTCAGTGGTTACCAGGGCTTGTGATATGGAGAGTGGTAGAATGGGTAATGACTGTTAATGCATACAGGATTTCATTTGGGCATGATGAAAAAGTCCTAAAATGCATTGTGGTGATGACTACACAACTCTGTGGATATATTAAAAACAATCAAATTGTACACTTTGAATGAAGGAATTGTATGGCATATAAATATAAGTTGTTTTAAATATACTTTGTATGTGTACATGTTTGTGTATATGCAGGTGCACGTGTATGTACATGTGCACATGCACATGTGTGTGACTGTGTGTGGAGACCGGAGGTCAATCCTCGGTCACACATGAGCTCTCTACCTTGTTTTTGAGTCAGGTTCTCTCACTGAGCCTGTAGCTCTGGTTAGGCTGGCTGGCCAATTAGCCCCAGGGAGCCTCCTGTCTCAGCCTCCCTGGCACTGAGATAACAAGTACAAATCACCATGCCCAGCTTTTTTTCATGGGCTCTGGGGATCTAACTCAGATTCTCACCCTTACACAGCAAGCACTTTACCAACTGCACCATTTCCATAGTCCCTGTTTTAAATATACTTTTGAAATATCTTTTACTGGAGCAGTAACCCTGATGACCAACTGGATATTTTAAAATAAAATTTAGTTGCCGGTTGCCTGTCAGAAGTTTCAAAAGATAACAGAGAAAAGATAGAGTGACTCCATCATCTCTCTCCCTTTAAGAAAGCAGTCTCAGGTCTGGAGAATTGGCTCAATGCTTAAGAGCATTTGCAGAGGACCTGGGTTTGATTCCCAGTACCTACATGGCAGCTCACAACTATCTGTAACTCCAGTTCCACAGACTCCAACACCTTTTTCTGGCCTCCATAGACACTTCATGACATGAGTACACTTACATACATGCAGTCAAAACCATATAAATAATAAATAAATAAATTTTATAAAAAGAAAGCAATCTGAGGAGCATAGTATAAGGACCCTGACATGGATAACTCTGGCAGTACTGAGAAGGGAGGAACTAGGTGATTTGTAACCCAAAGGAAGGGAATTCTTAGAGGGGCAGAGATGGAAAATGAAAGAAGCTCCTGGGTCACACATAGCTTTTAAAGCCACAGGAAAGACTCTAGAATCCCAAAGAAATTAAATTACCCTTGCAGAGTTGAATGAATGCAATGGAAAACATTTTCAGGTAGCAAAAAGGGGTACAGGAATGAACTCATTACACATAGTTTCAACCAATTACCTCAAGTATGAGCCAAGAAAGGGTTGAGCTTGAAAGAGTCACCCCAAACTTAATCAGCAGCTACCCATGAAGAGAGCGGAGTTGCTGAGACAGAATTTTTTTCTCTTATTGGATAAACTTTTGTTAGATTTTTGTGGGATTGGTTTGTTTGGTTGGTTTTGTTTGTTTGTTTGTTTGTTTGTTTGAGGGAGGGCCTTCCAAGTGGCCCTGACTAGTCTGGTACACCACTGTCACCCAGCATGCTTCACACTTGCATAGATCATCCTGCGTATGTGTACGCCGCCACGCCCTGCTTATATTTGATTTTTGTATCAGTGATATCCTCTCATTCTACTCTTTTTTGCTTTTGAGACAGGGTCTCACCATGCAGCCTAGGGTGCCCTCAAACTCACTATCTTCCTGCCTTAGACTCCTAAATGATAATATTCCAGGTGTATGCTACCAGGCCCAGCTGTATT